AAATGTTGTATGTTGTATGTTGGTGTTGATATTGGTGTTGGTGTTGTATTTGCTGGCAGAAAATACGCCGCAAGCGCCACACTCAGCAGCAAAAGTAAAGCAACACCAACCACACTCAAGCGCCCATCTCCTGCACTACCACCCTCAGAGTCTCTCACTCTCTCTCTCTCTCTCTCTCTCTCTCTGTCCCTGTCCCTGTCCCTGTCGCACACAATGCAAAGTAACCAATTTCAAAGTTGAATCGTTTAGTGAAATCACTTGAGGCGATTAAAATCAATCACAGACAATCAGCGCCAGCTAACTGCAACAACAACAACAACGTCCTTACCTGTGCGAGAGAGAGGGAGAGAAAGAGAGAGAGTCAGCCGACCATCAAGGCAAAGGATCTGTTGAGCTGTTCAGCAAACGATGAAGCCAACGTCCAAGTTGAGCATTTTTCCCCTCTTGCCACTTTTTCGATTTTATTTAATTTGCACTCATAGTCAAGACGAGAGCTTGGCATCTCTTCGGCTTCACTCAGCACCCACTCCCCGCCACCCCTCAACACCATCACCTCGCTATCACCTGCAGCTCTTTGGCTGGCTGCTGCGTAAAGAGAAAAATTTGATTTTAAATTGCTCTTGGCATCGATGAACGCAGAGTTTGTTTAGCTGAAACTAACAAAGTCCATTTTCATATAACAGCAAAGTGAATGCAGAAGGCCAAGACACGAGGTGTTGGCTCTCAATGTTTAGCATCTAAATAGCCAAAGGTGATTTTTATTTTTTCTCTTTATTATTCTTTTTATTTTACTATAAACTGTTGAAGAGACAGCTAACTTTGAATTGATAAGGATTGAATACCCTGGTGAAATTGAGCAGATTAGATGTATTCAAAGTTTTTTGGAGGATTTGCAAGGGTCGAATGATAATTTTAGTCGAAAAAGAGAAGTTTCTTGTAGGACAGAAGATGTCAAGATCGAAAAATACTAAAAAAGATAAAGAGAGATCAAAAGATAATGAAGGACATTTCAGAAAGATGACAAATAATAATTAAATATTTTTTATTATTAATGAAAAATGTCAACGGATGCTAATGGAAAATTCTCCGAATTTATCATACTCCACTTCAATTTCAAACTTATTTTTGCAGCAAGCCAAGCACTCGAAACAGTCATCCCCATCTCAGTCTATACAGGGTATCTAGCATAGCAACATGCAAAGTGTTTATAAATATTAGTGCGGAGCAAATGAAATTGGTAAAGGATAAATATACTAACACGAAACCAACAAAATCATGCGAAATTAAATGTTAGCAAATACAAGAAAATTTCTACTCGTTTTTTATCTTTTATTGAAATAAAATGCAAATGGCTAAAGGGAATCCAGTCGACGGGCAAAACACAAGTCGTGCGGAGGCAAATGGCTTAATTGGAAGGCGTCAAAAGGGAGCAAATTGAATCAACACCCAAAACTCAAAGACCCAAACCCAAACCCACATCCAAACCGAAGAACCGCATTCAAGCGTTGACCCTTTAAGCGCCGGACACTCATCACACCATTAGCATAAGTTAGATGAGTTTATCGGAGGACCCGCTGCAATGAGAACCAGAGCGAGAGATGAACTAGAGGATAAGGGCTGGAAAATTATTAATTTGTGAATAATTGAGAGCAGACTCAAGCCTGAATCATTTATATGAATAATCGGTATTATTGTCAATTATTCATTTTTATTTTATTTTTTTTTTTATTTTCTATAAATATTGAAGAGAAGATTTCAAAGTCTGATTAAAACTTTACTACATATGGTAAGCTATTAATTTCTTTAATAACTTATATTCTAAACTTAAATAAAAAATGTATTCTACACTCTTTTCCCTCATTTTTCCTTTCACAATTTGTTAATAAAACTAAAATCGATTAAAGTGCTGGCGTTTATTATGTTGAAGCAAAACATTTGCGCAGCTGCCAAAACAAATTCTATTTCCGGACAAAAACGTGCGACGCTGAGGCTCAGTCATAACTTTGTTTTATTTTCCAAATTTGTTGTTGTTTTTTGCAGGTTTTTAGAATATGCATTCAATTAATCTTGTTGGGCGAGATCTACAAGTGTATTAAAACTTCGTCATGCTGACAACAAGTTTTCAATTGTTAACTTATTCACTCGTTCGCCCGTTCGCCCGTTTGGCCGCTCGTCCGCTCATTCAGTCAGTCATTCATTCATTCACTCAGTTGCTCATTCATTTGTTTATGCTGTTGGTTTTGTGCCCCCAAACTGACTTCATTTGAAAACTTTTGCCATATTTCACGGCACCGCAATAAATTGTTGCCTCTCAGTGGGCTCCGCTTCCCCATTCCCTTGCCCCTACGACTCCGACTGGGCCCATCATTTGACCCGTCTCATCTATTTTATGCCAACTTTTGCATATTTTGGTACATTTTAGTCACTTGTGAAGCCAGAACGGAAGCCGACGCAGACTTAAATGGCAAACTTAAATGATTTTTAATTATGCAACGGCCCATGTGTAGAGGAATATAGAGGACATATATATATATATATAAAATTACGTTATATGCAAATCAAACTTCACATATCAATAATTTAAGTGGCCAGCACTTTGAATGTAGTTTGGTAATGCAATTCGAAATAAAGATAAATATTGAATTAAGCCATTTCAAATGGCAATTGCAGCTGAAACAAGCTTTAAAGTGTTTGGCATTCAAGTTGCTAGCTGATGCCCCGTGAAACTGGCATAGGGTATACTCGATATCCAACTGTTCGTAATTCATGAATCGCCTTGCCTTTCAATCTGTTTCTCTTAAGCTCTAAGACCTCCTTGATCTCGCTTGATCTACTTATTCAATTCATAGACTTCCCTGACTTAATGGGTATCTCTTAGTACATTCAATTGATAACTCTGGAGATTTGAATTCTTTTTCAATTAATCTTTTCTAATTTATTGACACTCGCACAAATGCAAAACGGTTTCGGACTCCGCTCGTTGGCTTACCGTAGAGTAATGTATAATTTATGCAAATTGCGCTAAATCAATTTTTAATTAAAACTACACACACTCACACTCTCACACACATGCGCATATAGAGCAGCACTCAAACAAACAATTTAATTTTCGGTTTCACATTCTGGCCTCGGGGGCATGGTCAAGCAGGCGTTCACAAACAAATCAATATGTCCAGCCATCCATCTATTTATCCATCATGCTGTCCGCTTATCCGTTCCAATCCATTCCATTTCAGTTCACGCATTGCCAACTGAATGCAATGATTATTCTATTTGAATAAGAACTCAAATTGAAGCTATGCACAATATATATATACTAATACTAGTATTCTATTATATTGCTATAAATGTGTAATTTAATTGTCTCTCGGATTTTGCTCTGATTGAACTGTTAGTTTTGGAATTCCTTGAAGTTCCTGTGAGATAATTATGTATTGTATATGAACAAGGCAATCCCTGTGCCTGGCAAGTCAAGGCATTTTATTTATTTATTTTATTTTTTTTATTTATTTGGTTTATTAAGTGTAGAAATGGTACAATCAGATATAGTACTTTGACAACACATTTATATACATAAAAAAAATTAGAGCAAAACACTGCACTCTTCTGCACTCCTTTATAATTTGATTTTGCAGCTATCCCCCAGATTTGCACTCCATAGAGCCATATTGATAGAATACCCTGCACATAGACGGCATTTTATAATTTTTTTTATATATTTTTGATTTATTTATATTA